AGGAGACCCCCAGCGGCCTCGACCGGTCCACAGGGCGAGCAGGCGAGCCGGCACGGTGGAAGCACACGGCTGAGTGGAAAAAGGGTTTTAAGGAGACCCTACAGGTCAATGACTTTCTATGAAAGCTCTGGAGTTGGTCATACCTGTAAGGCACTAGTAACAGCAAGCAGCAAGCAAACGACCTGGTTTTACTGGGTCAGACTGGACTTGTAGGGATATGTTATGATGTGATGTGACCCATATATGCACCATATATATATATATATATGTATATTGCTTCTACATCCAACATAGACTTCTGATGTCGCGTAGCTCACCTATCGCGGCCATGTGTCTTCCGCCTCCTCTCAGTTGGTTCAGCCATTTCGGACGGGATGGGTGGAGCAATCTGAAAGATGTGGGCGATGTCCGGGGACCTTTTCCAGTCCGCCCCCTAAAGGTGTTGGGATGGATCCACCATCCGAACCGGACGTCCGCTGCAAGGCCCCAGTTCGACCATCCGAATCGGAAGTAACGAAGTCAGTCACCTCCAAAATTTATCCTCAGGAGTTATTTGGACCCTATGGGGATAGAATAGACTGAAATCTCCAAGACTCCTCTGGTGGAACTTCATCAGCCATTGAGGGCTGTGGCACTGTGGACTGAGTAGGACATGGTGTCCTATGTCTACTCTAAAAATCGCTGAGAGATTTAACATTCTCTGGACTCTCGTTAATGGAGGGAGCGTGGTTCCTTGCAAAGCTCTCCGCGAATTGCGAAACGTTTGCCCTCATGGCTGACATCTGCCGACATGGTGACATATGCTGACATTGGCTATAGGGAGCATCCAGCTTCCTAAGCACAAACAACGATAACATGTCCAGAGACCCTTGGTTTACATAGTAGCGACTCCTGAAGATACCAGGACGTCTACTAAACTGGTGATGGTCAAAAAAAAACAAAAGGCATCCTGAAATCCCCTATGTCCACAGGATCCCCCAAACACCCCCCGAGGAACACGCATTCCTGGACCTAGGAGGATGCGGAGGATGGATCACTTCACCCAAACATTCCATGGGACTGGAATATATATGCCGCCCCGAGCCCTCTGGCACCACCCCTGGCGAAACTCGACAGTCCGCAGTCCAGTGGTGTCTGGGTCTGGGTCACTTCCCCATCGTCCCAGCCTCTTTGTGAAGGTCACGGTCTTTCGTTCCTTTCCTGCGACGTCGCCCCGGCGTCACCAACGGCGGCCGGTGGCCGCTTCGCTTGACAGCGGCCCGTTGAAGTCGCGTCGAGTCCAAGCGAAGGAACGGAAGTCCAAAGCGTCCGTTGGGTCGGATCCGGGTTGTTCGACGAAGCTGCACCGACCCAAAGCGGCGGGTGCGGTGCACCGTGCACCGACCCAAAGCGTGCACCGAGAACGTGACTGGTGGTCGCAATTGGCTGGAGCATGGTTTGTTCACTGCGCTAGGCCGCTAGGCTGGTCTGTTTTGGTGGGGAGGGTTCCAACGGCAATGCTAATGGAATTGTTGGAATTACTCATGGACGGCAAGGGGAGCATTGATACAGAAAAAATCAAATAAAATCAGTTAAATGGTCACAGGGATGTCCACAGTCTTGCTGAAGCTTGGTGGAACATGCCCCAGGCACAGCCCATCAGGTTTAGCCAAGGCCCCTTGAAGACACTCTTTTTCGACCCACTTTAGCTCCAAAGATTTGGGGGATAGGGGTCCTTGAAAGAGGGAGGGAGGGAGAGGAGGGAGAGGAGGTGAAGCCTTCTTCTTTTGGGACACCAGTCACTAGTGGGGGGGACCATTCCAATTTCCAAGTTATTTCAGGTCTGCCCTCTTGTCCAAGCAGCCGTCAGGCGATCGGAACACGATCTGCAGCTTCTTCTGCTTGACCTCTTGCTGCTGCTTAGCCTGAACAAGGACTTCGTGTGCCATGGACTTCGTGCTGGAGCACAGGGAATGGGATATGTATGGATATGTATGGATAATATATGCCCCTCTTCGCAAACTGATGTGTCCCGCAGTGTGTCCCGCATGTCCCCCCTACCGAAGTTGACGTTTGTTCCTTCCTTCATCCGCTCCCCCCCTTCGCATCCTCACAGGATATGCTAACGCATGTGGAGGATGGCCACCAAACCCCGCCACCGAAACAGAACCTGCAACTACCGACCCCCCTGCCGCACCCGAAAAAACCAGCACTGCTCCCAGCATCTCGACGTTTGCATCCACCCCGCAGGCCTTCCGTTCCTTCTCCGCCTTCTTCTCTGCCGCCTCCTTCTCACGCTGCAGCAGCTCCGCCTGAGCCTGCGACCGAAGCGAGGGCAGGGATGCCCACGTGGTGCGCTCCATCACCGAAACCCTCGGGAGGTGGATTCCCAAGAGAAGCCCCGGTGGTTTTGGTTGGATGGTCCACGGCGTCTTCCACTTCAACTTCGGATTGGATTGCACGGACGCCCGGAGGATGCCCCGGCGGATTCGGGCGTAAAAGCTGGTGGTACTTTGGGGGTGAAAAACCTGTGACAACCGATATATATATATATATATATACATAATATGTGTGTGTGTGTCCACCCCTGGACAAAGGGTTCCTTCGACCACCCCAATCAGGCA